GGGGGGGGGGGGGTTTTTCTTTTGTTCATGAAGTAATGATTCTCAATCCTTGCAAATGCCAAGCAAAATTTATCATCGTCCCCTCTCTGTAATGTAACTTCATTTGGGATAAGATGGGCAATCATCATTCCCCATTTTGTCCATGCCCTTGAAGCTGCATATTGTGTTTCCTTGTCTTCAGAGTTTTACCTCTTGTGGTAGGCCTTAACAAAACATCCCCTCTCTCTTTTTGGAATAAGATCTCTAAATTTATTGATTTCAGTTGAAGATGATATTTTATGATTGTTAGGGTTTTATGATTTTAGTTGAGAGGATATTTTGTGATTATTAGGATTTAATTAAACACAATTTCCGAAAGAAAGTAAAAAGATTTAAAAGAATTTAATGAAATAAATATGAGTGGTAAATTTAGAATGATATATTTTTATTTAATTTTATATATGTCTATTTAGGTAAATTTACATAAGATTAAAATATAGTATAATTATTTTTTTAGAAGTGGATGTATATATAAAAAACGTGAATGTAAATAGCGCTACCCTTTTCAAAATATTGATATGTATAAATTTGTTTAACAACAAGGACATAAATTCTTATGAAAACAATAATTTGTGCTTTATCAAGAATAAAAATATCGTTAAAGATTAAAAAAATTCATATATTCTACAAAGTTTGATATAAAATGATTTTTGATTGAATGAACTTATTTGGATTTGACGAACCTAGAAAAAAGTATGAATTTGGTAGTAATTGTATGAAACTAGTACTCAATTTGACAAATATGAAAATTATATTTTCCTTTTTGTTAAAATAACTTATTTTTGTTATAAATATTTTTCAAATCAAAGCGTTATCTCAACTCGTCCAAGCACAACTCTCGACTAGACAAAGAAATCGTGCATGTATTTTTTCCACTTTATTCTCAACCATAAGATGCATTATGCGTGTTAATAAACAAATGCCTCTTAACCAAACAATGTGCTCGATGAAGAGAAAGTGAAAACTATGGAGTGTGCTTATCAACTCATTAGTTTGTTAGAACACTCTTTTTGGCGATTCTTTAGTCTAATATCATATAGAACTCCATTGATTATGTGACATTTGGTATATTTAAACCCTTCATCTTTGTGAATTATGGTCAATACTGATCATACAAGCAGTGATTACAAATTCAAAAGAGCTTGTAGTCTACTTTGATGAGTAGTTGTCAAGGAGCGTGGTCATAAAATAGTACATCATCAAAGGCATGTAATTTAGATCCAAAACAAGCCCAATCTTGTCACACCTTAGTACTAGACTCAATAAGAATTGGGAATGACAAAATTGAATATGCTCGAAAAAGAAATTAGTCTACTTCTTAGTGCTTACACTAATGACATATTTAGTATATTAGAATGGATAAGAAGGAATATAAATAAAAATCAATTGTCATTTATCTTTTTCATTCGAACTATATGTTTATCTTATTCAATTAAATATACCAAATATATCATAAAGAAGATGAAGCAAGAATGGGACCACATTCTCTACTCAAGAAACAATGCAACATGCAAAGTCAGATGAGATTAAATTTTCTCTGACGAGTCAAGTTGGTGATTAAATGCAGGTACCTATTTATGTCTCCCAAGAAGTGACTTAGTGAATTGTCAACAAAGAGAGAGTAGTACTTAATGACAGAACATGTCTTTATAATTTTGAGAAATTAATCCACAATTTTCCACTTATAAGTGAAAAGCAGCATGGAAAAAATGGCTTTTATAAACACAAGTCTACAAAATCTAAACGAAAGGCAGTGGAGAGCTGGAAATAATAGTTGAATCCACAAAACTTCCTTAAGCACGAGCCGGAGTCTAGTGCTCAAAAGAAGTTAAAATTTCGTCTATAACGACTTATGGTTTGTAAATTACCACAAAACAGGGAAGGAGAGCTCTTGGACTGAGCAAATAGAGTTCTTCAATATTTGAATGGGGACCTAATTTCCCAGCCAGTGAATCAAATCCTGTTTGACCAGCCAATTCTTGAACGTTCTCTAAAGGCCTATGCACCCTCCCTGCTATAACTCTGCACACTATTAGAGCCTTCCTTATTGAAGGATTTTCATCGTATGATTGGATTGATTCAAATGCTCTACCACTTGTTGAAGCTGTGAATACTCCAACACTACCACCATTTGTCCCTTTTTTTGATGAAAACCCGTGTCTTAGAATTCGACAAACACTACATTTATCCAATGTACAAAGGCTTGAAGAGCCATTGATGCCTAGATTGCATTCGACAGTTGCTCCATAGAACCTTAAAAGCTCGTTTCCATCGGCTAGACAACGAGGATGTTTCTTGGGAAGTTTGGTTGCTTTGATCTTCACCAATTCTCGGTATTCCTCGAATTGTGCTAGTGTTTTCTGCATGTTGTGGACCTTCAAAACCCTCTCAATTCCTCCACAATTACTGTCTGGCTTTGTGCAGCTCGTCCGGCAAATTATTTCAACTATTTTTCTTGAGGACTCTCCTTCAGCAAGTTCAGAAACTGAACCAAAATAAGAGAAGTTTAAAATTAGAATACGTAGACTTTAAAAAAGAATATCCAACATTTTCTTTCTAATTACATTCAGTTGATCAATTACATAGATTCAAGGAGACAACTGGCAAAATTCAGGCCTCAATACAAAAAACCTGTGACAGGAGAAATAGTATTTTGAGGTGGAACATCAAAACTGAAGTTCTTGTTTCAAAGAAAGAAATATTAGAAAAAAAAATATAAAATAAAAAGTTTAATAACATGCACGACAAGAAGAACGAAATAAATTAACTCTTTTTCCAATAAATTTGAGGTCACCAAAGCACGGAAGGTAAAATTTACCGGCATGTTTGGAGAGGTGATGTTCTTCGATGGCTTCCCATTTACCAAATGGTTCACCACATTTATGGCAAAATAAAGCACCATTAGAATCTGCACCAAAGTAGGCCTCAGGCCTTGCGGGGATTACCCCAAATCCAGAACTCCTCCTGGAAAGGCTACTAGATGTCCTCCTTATAGGACTAGCCAATCCTCTATGCTTATTTCCCTTCAGCCGCCGTGGGCCCGGAGTCCCCGGCTTAAGCGTGCCCACAAACGTCGAACCACAGGCGCCGCCACTAGCACCACCTTCTTGGAAACCATTTCTGGCCGTGATCTTTAGTTCACAAGTTGAATTACTTAACACAACTTCATGCGTTATTGGGTTCAAAAGTTCACTACTGCCAACGGATCTTGGACTGCAAGTTTGTGGCTTCTCTGTGTGCCTTTTGCTTCCATGAATTACATCTTTCAGATTTGCAATAGACCTAGAACATCCTGACCGTCCACTGCCTGATTTCCTTGTCAATATATGGCTCAGGTTCCCATTCCCCTTTGGATCATGGACATCCAGTGGCTCTGATTTGCATTTCAAAGATTTCTTCAAAGCAAACCAAACTGCAGGCATCTCTTTTTTTTTCTTTTTTTTTTTTATTGTTTGCTTATAGCCTTTCGTCTTTTCAAATTCTGAAAATGATCCGTCGATCCCAAATCTATAGCATCGGAAGGGGAAGAAACAAACGATAGAGTTAAGGGATTCTTGATTTAGTACAAAAATTAACATATATAGGCTAATTGTTACCTTTCTTGGACTAGCCATTGGCACAATAGGGCAGTATATATATGCATGTAAATCTTAGTTTACTTTTATGAGACACTATTTGCACTAAAACCAATATGCATCATAGATTTCTGATCGGAGGAAAAAGATAAAAATTTAAAAGGATTTTGATAAATGTTAATGAAACTAGAGGTTAAAAATTGAGTAAAGTTGTGGGTTGTTTAAAAGAATATGTGATTAAAATTATTTGTTAACTTTGACCTCAATTTTTTAAGCTATCCCAAATTGATAGTACCGACTACCAAGAAGGTAAGTTAAAAATGAATATAACTTCGGAAATTAAGTTAAATTGCATATTTACCTCTGATAAGAATGGTAAGTTAAAAAAGAATATAACACTGAAAACTAGGGTAAATGGTATATTTACCTTCGATAAAACTGGTAATGATCAAACAACTTCAATTTGTTGAATTATATCATCAATCTTAAATTTTATAGTACAAAGGTCACTCAGTTTGCTTCCATTATAAAAAATTAACCAAGTATTTTACAAAGAAGTAATATTTTGATTTATGAATCCTTACCACATAAATCAGAATTAAAAAAAAAAAAAAATTGGTCTCACAAGTTGCACCTTGTAAGCCACGTTTTCTCTTGATAATTACTGTTATTAACTTATTAATAATGAAATCAGACTGAGTGACCTATTGGGTAAGAAAATTATAGACGAGCACCTGATTGAACAAACACTGATAAATTTTTTTCTAAAAGTTGAATACCCAAATATGTAAATAACTGGAAGATATTAGGAAAATTTTCCTTCTTAGCCTGACAAGTTAAACAAATGAGCTAAGATGGGATTTTGTGGTGCGTAATATTGACTTAAAAAAAGCAGCCTTTAACTTTAGTGGGAAAATAATAGATGGGACAAATCTATGCTTAATGATAAAAGATTATGTATGGTAGCGTGATTGTCATTGAAAACATTTATTTATCTTCAAGTTTTTTTTTTTTTTAATAAAAAGAAGCTAAATTGGATTAAGCTTAAATCAAAAGATTTTGTTTACTGACTCAATGTGAACCATGACGCATTATTTTTCACTCATTTTAGTGCCTATTAAAGACAGTCTGTGTTTAACGTACGATTGAATATTTGACAAAGTGAAGTCTTTCTCTTCTAGCTTGTTTAGTTAATACCGACACAACATTGAAGATGTGATAACCCCGCTGCAACAACCTGCTTCTCCAAAAGGGAGACTTTATCTTGATTTATGTGGAACTAATAAATCGATCTTGGAATTCATGACCTAAAATATCAAGAAACAAGAATGGAATCATCTATCTACTCACTTGGTACGTTATTCTTGTTAGTCAAACACAACTTCATCAAATGTTATTTAGTGTCAACCTAATTAATTAATATTTTCCGTTAATGTAAATGTTGGCGATGAACTACACGTTATGAACACATTTTTTAGCAAGCAATAAACATTAAATTTCTGAAAATTGCAACCCAGTCAAGTTTCCTCAAAGATGCCATGTGGTAGTGCAATTAATAGAAAGGAAATTGATTTTCCGAGCTTCAAAAATTAGGCACCGAACCCCATACGCACACAACTAATTCATTAAATATTGAAGATTAGATGCTCCTTTCGTGCTAGCGAAATAGAAAGAGACGGATCAAGCTACTAACAGTCAAGAAGCCTTAAAACCTTACGATAGGGGTGGAACTGGGAACAATTTTTTTACTTTTTGATTTTTGATTTTTTTTTTTCCACAATACTGAGCTGATACCTTAAAAAGCGAAGAATAGTACAGAAACTTTTCTCATATGACGTGCACAGATAAGACACAATAGAAGGAGGGATGGGTGATTTTTCTACATTATTTATCATCACATGGGACCCACAAAATGTGAGATTTTTTGGCCAGCGTTCTGTACATATAGAATTTTTGAAAAATGAATTGGGCTCGGGCCCCTTCACTCCATCCCGGCCTAGATCATAGTAACAGTCGTCTACTTATAGGATTAGGTGCGACCCTTAATAATGTGCTTGCATGCACCTCACATGCTTAACTTTCGAAGGGTAAAATTAAATAGTTGTCACACTCTTTTAATCAGTGTAGATGACGCTTGACCAAAGTTACACTACTGTAACTCTTAATAGTTTGAATTTAAGACCGAATATGAAAACAACCTAGGCGGAGAGATATTATTCGTCTAAGAAACTGTCAAAAAATGATGTCTTTTTAGTACCTGTCTCCATGCATCAGTTAATTTTGTCTCAGTGTTAGAGGTTAATCTCTAACGTTCAGTAGTGAAATTGATCCTTTGATTTGAGATCATCACAATACCTTATATGAGTACAGTTATCCTTTGGTGATATTGGATGTTGCTCTGTAAGGGCCGCTAATACGGCATCGTTCAAGTATATCAAGAATCATATGAAGTTGTAAAGGACCAGTAAAGGATTTGTCATTCTTAAATAGTAAGAGATTGTGATCTACATTTTATTCAGATAAGTTGATAATGAAATCATTGGTCAAGTTGTACTCACAAGTCGAAAGGAGTTTTTGATTAATATTGACTTAATAGTGAAATGAAAGATATGATCGATTATTGAGATTGACACATATTCATATTTTATAATTGATCGGATCATATTAATGAAAAGATTATAATTTCACAATAAACGAACAAATTTGATTTTGTCATATTACGTGACATTTCTTGTCACATAAATTGTCCAGACACATTGCTAAAGGTTAATTAGGAACGATGATTGTAAATTAGTGATGAATTAAAATACGTGTTTTAATTTATTTATTTTGATTAGATGAAAATAATAATTCACATCGTTAGATATCGTGATTGATAATCTAATAGGTCACATATTAAAAGAAAACTAGAAGAATGAGATTCACCAATTAATTGATTAACAAGTGTTAGATAATTAATTAATTGGGTTGCTTATTGATATGCTTAAATTAAATTAATTAATTCATGGACTAAATTTAATTAATTGAATTTATTAAAAATTGGACCGAATTAAGTTATGAGACGAACTAAATTCGTTTGGGCTTATATAAATGAGCTATTAGAGTTTGAAAATTGTAGAAATAAATTTCATATTCTTTCTAACACATGAAAAGTAAAAATTCTGGTTCTCTTAATCTTATTCCCTATGTGGATTTTTATTAGATGCTGAACGATTAGACAGCTGTGAATTGCAGATCAAAATTGCTGGAATTAAAGAAAGGCAAAGAAATTTGCAGAATTCAACAAAAGTATATTTTCTGTCATTGTTTCTATCTAACATAAAGCATATCCTTGGTAGAAATTGAAATATTGTTTAAATTTCGCTGTGTGTGATTAAGTAAATTTTCGACAGTGTAGACAATAATCATTGTTTAATGATGTTTAAAATACAAATATACAGATATATTTGAACCCAACGGATTCATGTTACCTGTAAATCTTTAAGTTTAACCTCTTATTTAAGGATGAAGAGTTTGGTGGAAAATCAGATTTTTCTTCATCCAGACTAATTATTTATTTGGATAGCTTTGTAGAATAGTTTAATTATTCTTCTTCATCATATTTGACTTCCAAAGCCTCTAAATCAACGATACTCTCCTTAAAAAGCAGCTAGATGATTCTTAAGATATATGTCTTCTGTCATACGATGATAATATAAACATTACTTCGATGCAATTTACTAGTAATACTTTTCGTTATGCATAATTGTTTCAATTTTAACCATAGTGCAACAATTGACTTCTCCTTCAAAATATCCTGAACAATATTATTTGAAAGATGAAGATGTATTTGAGATCGGGCCTTTCGATCCCTCTATTGTTTCTCTTCCAAAGTCCAAGTTTTGGACATCTTGTCAAATCCCAACAAGTGTCGTCCAAATCCATTGGAGTGAATATTGCTCGCATATTGACCTGCCCAAAAAAATTCTTGTATTGTGATTTAATAGTGAAATATCATATTTCATGGTTGCCATCACCAAAAACCTTGAGTTTTTCAAGAATTTCAAAATAAAAAACTCTTATACCAGTTTGCTGTGTAATGAAAATGATATCAAATTGTTCGAGAAAATAAGAGATTATAGTCACAATATGAAATAACTGATTACAAGAACCAAAAATTTTGTAGATAATACATATTTTATTATAATATAGATAAAGAATACAGAGATTTTATGTTTATAATTTGTATAACTTAATCTAAATTACAATGAAGAACTAAATATATAGAGAGAACAATCTAAACCCTAGAAGTGAAGTTGTAGATGAGATAAAATGTCGAAAAGTTTTTTTTATCTTGATTTCTTTAAGTTCGACACAAATTTCAATTCCTAATAGGACCTTCAAGTATAGAACTTCAACCAGTGGCGAATCTAGGACTTCGACTCAGTTAGGGCGGTCGTTGATCGTTGGCCGTTGTTTGTCGATAATTAATGACCGTATAGCGATATCGTTTATTAATATTAAATTAAATAATATTAAAAAATTCTTCGATCTATATGTAAATATACTAAAATGTAAAAATCGTATATTTATATCATATTATATTTCCATACAATCCGAAATAATATAAATTATATGATACATAAGACTTCTCTGTGTTATCAATACTTAACAAATCGTTTGCTTGGCTAAAAGTGGTTGAGAGATTAGATACACCACTACAAAAACTAGATTAAAATTCAGTTGAAAAAATCATTCCATAATTAGTATAAGAATTGAACGTTAATCAAAGATTAAACGTAATTAAAAGTAATTTTAAAATATAATTAAAGTTTCAATTTTCAATTCTCAACACCAATTGATCACAAATTATAAATTCCCCAATTTCTCATTTTTAATTTTCATGAATCAAATATTCACATTTCACGATATTCAAATTAATTTTTTATATCACAATTCACAATAGACAAATTTTCAAATAACATATAAATTAAAACTCAATACTCATAAGTCATATCTTATAAATTATTAAAGCA